GAATTCTAGCTTACCCTTCTGTTTCCATGTGGTAGAACTGCGATGATCATATATGGTATGGGAGCAGGTCAGGGCTAGCTTGGAGTTGAGGTGATCGCTGCGAGACGAGGAGTTTGATCCTTGTGTTAGGGTTACCATTTTGGGTAACGATTTTGTCTGTGCTTGACCAACATTAGAGAATATTATTTTTTGGATGACTGTACATATATGGCGTTCTATTTTGTATTTAAGAAATTTAGTTATTTTTATTTTTATCTATACCTGTATGTGTGAGTTATCCAACTTAATATTTCTCTTAGTTCACTAGTAGTAGTGCGATTCCACTAAGTGTAGAGACCATGGCGGGTCGTTACACTATTCTCCCAATCAGTGACCATACATTCTCCATCACTGTTTTTTCCCAGTTACTGATTGTATATAAAGCTATCTGCAAGGGTAATTAGTTTCATTAATTTATCATGCTGCTATCTAATCGCATTATAACGTTCCATTTATTTTTTCAGGGCCACTGCAATGTGTTTGATAAAATGCATGAAAAAGAATAGGTACCTTTTCTTCCGGTCACTGTGCTTTTGTTTTGCTTGCTTGGAAGGTGACTTTTAGTTTCAGCATAATGGGTCTTAGACTTTTTGAGCTACTTTACACTGGACAAAATTTTATTAGAACCAACAGGTCTTCATCTTTTTTCCTGAACTCCACATTTTATCACTCTTCAAAAGACGCTCTCAACATGCAATGGTATCAGGATGAGTTTCCCAAGGTGAAAGAGTTGACCGATTTGCTAGCAAATGTGGATACAGTTAACGGGATACTTGTTGATGTAAACAGCAATACAACCGTATTTGATGATGGTATTGAACGTCAAATGTGTACCTTCAAGTCTCTTGTCCGTGTGTTTGTTGGGTCTCCATTTGTTCAGCACAGGATGAAACATGTTGTGGGCTCTTTCACCACAAGCACGCAACATGAATTGTTGACCCCTTTTAGTAAAGCAATTGAAAGAGAGCCTATGGTGGTTGATTCACTGACCAAAGTGGGCAACTTTCTCAATGTCTCTGCCCAACAAAGGAAGTTGGTTCGTTTAAGAGTGTGCCCACAGGTTACTTAGCATTGCATATGGACTGGTGCACTAAAAGAAGTTCTGAATGGTTTTGTAGTAGATTTGAATTGTTTGAGTTCTCGGGGCTTAAATAATGGTGCTTTATTGGGTGGACAAATTGTTCAAAGCTGCTTGAAGTTTCTTATTGATATTTCTGTCTGTTTAGACCCTGAGTCATCTTCTTGGATGAAGCTTTCTCCTTCAAAAATAGTTGATTCCTATGATCCTCGGAAATGGGAAGATGTTCTTGTAATGTTCAATGATATGACTAAATGCTGTAGAAGTGAAAATATGTTGAAGTTGCACGTGGCTAAGGTTGAGGTCATGAAGGAGGGGCTTTTGCACATTAGGGATATTTTAGTTGACAACAGTATTGGATATAAGGAAGCTCAACATCAAGAAAGCCTAGTGAAGAAGATGCTTTCCAAAAGGTTGGGTTACTCATCTCGTTGCTTATTCACTCTATTACTGTATTACCTCTATGGGAGGGTTGCAGATATCGAAGTAGACATGTGTGGTGGGGTCTATGCAGATGGAAGTGATGGTAAGTTTTGCTTGTTTATGGGAAAATCTTGACTTCAGATAGTGATAAGACGGTGGGGTGTGGTGTGAAGCAGTTGGACCGAGCGCTTGGGATTTTTAAGTTTGTGTGGGAAATGGCTGGAATGAAAGGACATTTAGATTTGCAGGGCCATATGTGGTGTGTTGGAGCAGACAATAAGATGCTTAGGTATAGAGGAAACACGTACTTCGTGCATGGAATTTTCCTTTGATTAGAGACTGTATCACTATATCTTTTAATCCCACTCCTTGGTGCTAAAATGTCACCGCTTACTATTTATATAATCTTTTTGCTGCCTATGGTTTTAGTTTGTATGTTTTACAATTTCAAATTACCAACATCTTAAATTGATTTTGTTTTTGTTTTTCTTTTGTTGCTTGGACTTTTGCAACTATAAGTACACACTTCCTGAAGATCTAGTTGTGAAAGAAAAAAAATCCAATTCCAGAACCTCAGGTTTGAAATTTTAAAATTCTAAACAAATTAATTTGGCTTCAATAACTTGAAATTCCAAAATTGAAGTAAAAAAAATAAATAAATCATTGTTTGACAGTGCATGACTTTAGTTCTTGAAAGGTAAGTCTTTTTTTATCAGTATGCAACTTACTAATGTCACAAAGCTAATGATAACTTTTAGTTATTTGGATCAACTAACAACTAACAAGTGGTTAATTTGCCAATGAGGATGATTGTGCAAATCTAAGATGAGAGATACTAGTAAGTAGCAACACACTTCCTACTTCTGTTATTTGAGATTCATTGGTGGGTCCCAATCTTTATTGAGCAAGTTTCACTTTCACATCAATTTAAATTAAAATAATTAATATCTTTGTAATTTGCTCAATCTTGGGTAAGTTAAACTTATTTCCTAATAAGATTTTATTTCAATTTAATATTTGCAACTTGAAAAAATATGTTTAACAAAGTTATCAAATGCCTGTTCTGTTATTGATCTATTCAGGCTCAGGGGTTTATAGATGACTCTAGCCTTTCACTTTACCATTTGTTTTTTCAGCAGTTGGCAACAGAAAATTTGTCTACACTAACAACTAAGGAAAGAATGGCATCCCACTGAATGCATTGTAGAATACCAAGTAAAATCTTGGAAAAGAGGTAAACCATCGTGGATCAGTGTCCATCTCTCACTTATGGTCGTTATATTTGATTTTTTTTTATCTTCTTTTCTGAATAAACACTGCTGCATACACTACACACAAACTACAAGTCATTAGAGAATAGCTTTAGATACTATAGAGTAATTTTTAAACAACTTATCTTCAAATAAATGTACAATTAGGTCCCTGAAAGATGTTATTTCTGTTGCCTCTCTCTTTGAAAGTATCTGTCTATTTCAATTGCTCCTAGAAGGTTTTACCTTGCTACTGTTTATTAACTTGGTATTCAAGGACTAATTTGTATTGACGAAAACTTTTGTAGATCAAATCAGTAATATCTTTTAGGGACCAAATTGTACTTTCTTTCCATTCCATAAACAATAAGTTCGTACATCAGCCGCCTGTATGCTAGACACTGCTTTCTGTTTTAAACAAGATTTTTAACATAACTAGAACCTACAGGGTCACACTCATAAAGAAATTTAGAGGAGAAAAGAAAGATTAAGTGAGAGTGTAATGTTTCTTATGGATTGTGCTCATAATGTAAGGGGTCCAAGATTGTTGTGTTGAAGTGCCAAAGTTTTTCTTATATAAAGGAACAGCCTGAGGCACAATTGGCACAAGCTTTAACAGTTGTACAGGACACAGGCTGTGCAAAGAAAAACCGTAGCCGCTTGGCAAACAGGGTATGCTTAGTTCAAATTTCGGAAAGAATGCTTGGACCTACTGGATGCACAGTGCCACAGAATAAACTTGCTATAGAGGCAGTTTGTGACACAGCAGCTAACAAGTAGATTTTAGCGTGTTGGAATATCTTTAGGATTTTTGGGAATAATCCTAAAGATGTAGTTGATAATTAAAATATGTATTTTAATATTGGATGCTTTTATTCTTCCTATTTTAATTGTCATAATTAATGCTTTGTGGGTAGTTACAAAACAAGGCCTAGGGGATTAAGTGTACATATCGTAGGAAAGTAAAAGTTTAGAAATGCTCTATATATTTACCCCTAATACGTGGAGGAAAAATTCTAGTCTCACCTTGTTAAATCTCTTTTTCAAGAGTGAAATTTGCAAAACCATTAAATAGACATGAATTCACATGAAATTAAGTGAGTAATTAACTATATAATCAAATTCTTCTAGTAGCTAAAAAAACTCTAGATTAGCACCACGGTGGTGTGAGTCTCTTAATTTTCTCACAAATTTATTTTCAACTGTTTCTCAACCAACCTACGTTCGTTTATAATTCATGCATCAATCCAATGCTGAGTTATAGACCGATGAGGCAAGATTGTTAAGATTGTTTAGAGAGCAAAATAGAAAACTTTCATATTTAGCCTGTTCCTAGAAGCATGCATCAGACAAAGGATTGAGGCCAATCCTGCTCGGGGATGTGGGAATAATTGTTGGGTAGCAGGATTGGCCCCAATGGCCTGATGCATGCTTCTAGGAACAGGCTAAATAATGAAAGTTTTCTATTTTGCTCTCTAAACAATCTTAACAATCTTGCCTCATCGGTCTATAACTCAACATTGGATTGACGCATGAATTATAAACGAATGTAGGTTGGTTGAGAAGCAGTTGAAAACAAATTTGAGAGAAAATTAAGAGACTCACACCACCGTGGTGCTAATCTAGAGTTTTTTAGCTACTAGAAGAATTTGATTATATAGTTAACTAATCACTTAATTTCATGTGAATTCATGTCTATTTAATGGTTTTGCAAATTTCACTCTTGAGAAAGAGATTTAACAAGGTGAGACTAGAATTTTTCCTCCATGTATTAGGGGTAAATTTATACAGCATTTCTAAACTTTAACTTTCCTACTAAATGTATACTTAATCCCCTAGGCCTTATTTTGTAAGTACCCACAAAGCATTAATTATGACAATTAAAATAGGAAGAATAAAAGCATCCAATATTAAAATACATATTTTAATTATCAACTACATCTTTAGGATTATTCCCAAAAATCCTAAAGATATTTCAACACGCCAAAATCTACTTGTTAGCTGCTGTGTCACAAACTGCCTCTATAGCAAGTTTATTCTGTGGCACTGTGCATCTAGTAGGTCCAAGCATTCTTTTCGAAATCTGAACTAAGCATACCCTGTTTGCCAAGCGGCTACGGTTTTTCTTTGCACAGCCAGTGTCTTGTACAACTATTGAAGCTTGTGCCAATTGTGCCTCAGGCTGTTCCTTTATATAAGAAAAGCTTTGACACTTCAACACAACAATCTTGGACCCCTTACGTTAACTCATGAGAAAAACTTATCTTATTTTTTCTCATTATTTTGATGAGTCTCACCATTATGAGCACAATCCATAAGAAACATTACACTCTCACTTAATCTTTCTTTTCTCCTCTAAATTTCTTTCTGAGTGTGACCCTGTAGGTTCTAGTTATGTTAAAAATCTTATTTAAAACAGAAAGGAGTGTCTAGCATACAGGCGGGCGATGTACGAACTTATTGTTTATGGAATGGAAAGAAAGTACAATTTGGTCCCTAAAAGATATTACTGATTTGATCTACAAAAGTTTTCTTCAATACAAATTAGTTCTTGAATACCAAGTTAATAAACAGTAGCAAGGTAAAACCTTCTAGGAGCAATTGGAATAGACAGATACTTTCAAAGAGAGAGGCAACAGAAATAACATCTAATTGTACATTTATTTGAAGATAAGCTGTTTAAAAATTACTCTATAGTATCTAAAACTATTCTCTAATGACTTGTAGTTTGTGTGTAGTGTATGCAGCAGTGTTTATTCAGAAAAGAAGATAAAAAAATCAAATATAACCACCATAAATGAGAGATGGACACTGATCCACGGTGATTTACCTCTTTTCCAAGATTTTACTTGGTATTCTACAATACGTTGAGTGTGATCCTAGTCTTTCCTTAGTTGTTAGCGTAGACAAATTTTCTGTTGCCAACTGTTGAAAAAAAATGGTAAAGTGAAAGGCTAGAGTCATATATAACTTTGTTAAACATATTTTTTCAAGTTGCAAATAATAAATTGAAATAAAATCATATTAGGAAATAAGTTTAACTTACCCCAGATTGAGAAAATTACAAACATATTAATTATTTTAATTTAAATTGATGTGAAAGTGAAACTCGCTTAATAAAGATTGGGAGCCACCAATGAATCTCAAATAACAGAAGTAGAAAGTGTGTTGCTACTTACTAGTATCTTTCATCCTAGATTTGCACAATCATCTTCGTTGGCAAATTAACCACTTGTTAGTTGATAGTTGATGCAAATAACATAAAGTTATCATTAGCTTTGTGACATTAGTAAGTTGCATACTGATAAAAAAAGACTTACCTTTCAGGAATTGAAGTCATGCACTGTCAAACAATGATTTATTTTTTTTTTACTTCAATTTTGGAATTTCAAGTTATTGAAGCCAAATTAATTTGTTTAGAATTTTACAATTTCAAACCTGAGGTTCTGGAATTGGATTTTTTTTTCTTTCACAGCTAGATCTTCAGGAAGTCTGTACTTGTAGTTGCAAAAGTCCAAGCTCCAAAAGAAAAACAAAAACAAAATCAATTTAAGATGTTGGTAATTTAAAATTGTAAAACCATACAAACTAAAACCATAGGCAACAAAAATATTATATAAATAGTAAGTGGTGACATTTTAGCACCAAGGAGTGGGATTAAAAGATATAGTGACACAATCTCTAATCAAAGGCAAATTCCATGCACGAAGTACGTGTTTCCTCTATACCTAAGCAACTTATTGTCTACTCCAACACACCACATATGGCCCTACAAATCTAAATGTACTTTTATTCCAGCCATTTCCCACACAAACTTAAAAATCCCAAGCGCTCAGTCCAACTGCTTCACACCACACCCCACCGCCTTCTCACTATCTGAAGTCAAGATCCTTCCCATAAACAACCAAAACTTATCATCACTTCCATCTGCATAGACCCCACCACACATGTCTATTTTGATATCTACAACCCTCCCATAGAGGCAATACAATAATAGAGTGAATAAGCAAAGAGACGAATGACCCAACATTTTGGAAAGCTTCTTCTTCACTAGGCTTTCTTGATGTTGAGCTTCCTTATATCCAATACTTTGTCAACTAAAACATCCCTAATGTGAAAAAGGCCCTCCTTCATGACCTCATCCTTAGCCACATGCAACTTCAACATATTTTCACTTCTACAACATTCAGTTAGATCATTGAACATTACAAGAACATCTTCCCATTTTCGAGGATCATAGCAATCAACTATTTTAGAAAGAGAAAGCTTCAGCCAAGAAGATGACTCAGGGTCCAAATAGATAGAAATTGCAGTAAGAAACTTCAAGCAGCTTTGAACAATTTGGCCACCCAATAAAGCACCATTGTTTAAGCCCCGAGAACTCAAACAATTGAAATCTACTGCAAAACCATTCAAAACTTCTTTTAGTGCACCAGTCCATATGCAATGCTGAGTAACCTGTGGGCACACTCTTAAACAAACCAAATTCCTTTATTGAGCAGAGACATTGAGAAAGTTGCCCACTTTGGTCAGTGAATCAACCACCATAGGCTCTCTTTCAAGTTTCAATTGCTTTACTAAAAGGGGTAAATGATTCATGTTGTGTGCTTGTGGTGAAAGAGGCCAAAACATGTTTCATCGTGTACTGAACAAATGGAGACCCAACAAACACATGGACAAGAGACTTGAAGGTACACATTTCACGTTCAATGTCATTATCAAATAAGGTTGTATTGTTGTTTACATCAACAAGTCTCCCGTTAACTGTATCCACATTTGCTAGCAAATCGGTCAACTCTTTCACCTTGGGAAACTCATCCTGATACCATTGCAAGTTGAGAGCGTCTTTTGAAGAGTGATAAAATGTGGAGTTGAAGAAAAAAGTTGAAGACTTGTTGGTTCTAATAAAATGTTTTCTAGTGTAAAGTAGCTCAAAAAGTTTAAGACCCATTATGCCGAAACTAATAGTCACTTTCCAAGCAAGCAAAACAAAAGCATAGCGACCGGAAGAAAAGGTACCTATTCCTTTTCAGGCATTTTATCAAACACATTGCAATGGCCCTGAAAAAATAAATGGAACGTTATAATACGGTTAGATAGCAGCATGATAAATTACTGAAACTAATTACGCTTGCAGATAGCTTTATATATAATCAATAACTGGGCAAAAACGGTGATGGAGAATGTATGGTCACTGATTGGGAGAATAGCCCCACCAAAATACCTTGCAAAGCTAACATATCTTTGTTGGAAACATGACAAGGAGATAAAGCACATTGATACTGTCAGAGCCTACACATTTGGGTCCAACTACTTTGTGGAGGTAGACATTCTGGTATCAAGACAAATGTCACTAAGTCAAGCACATGACATTGGAGAGACAGTTCAAGATAAGCTTGAAAAACTCCCCGAAATTGAGAGAGCCTTTGTTCACATTGATTTGAACACAACTCATAGGTTGGAGCAAGAGCCCGTGGTGGTATAGAAAATTATTAGGCATTGATTGCTATGAATTTGGTTGGCATAGAGATTTTCTTTTGTTCTTATTGTGGATTATTGTCCTTGTGAGAGTAGCCAACTTGTATCACCTAGGAAATGCCAAGCTTCATTTCTTTGCATTGACCAATCGTGCAAACTAATGATCTGAGAGTGGCTGATGCTAACTAGACCAACACATGCAAAACATAACTCTAATCGAAATGAATCCAAACACTTCATATCCTTCTAGTAAGAATAACACCAATAATTTCAACTCCCTCACACCACCAACATCAAGTTAAGCTAAGGCAGACATTTTGTTAGGAATAGAGGTTTGGATATTAAAGGTCCTCTAGGAGGCAAAGGAACCTATGACATGTAATGGGTGATATATTACCAGGAAGCCAGTTAGTAGAGTGAGTGGTTAGATTAGTTAGACACGTGTGACATTAACTTCAAGCATGCACAAAATTTTCACTTTCTACCCATGGAAATTTTCACTCATAAATTTAAGATTTAAATATATTTCTAATCTTTCAAATTTAAGGTAAATGTATTTTAAATTCCTCAAATTTAAATTGCTTTTTTTAGTTCCTGTAATTTTTAAAAATCCTATTTTAATTTTTCAGGTCACCAATAACATATAAATTACATATTAAAACAATTATGTTACATCAATTAAATTTAACGTGATATTTTTACTAACAAAGGTACTAGTAGTGAGATTTTATGCGATAATATTTGACAGGTTACCTAAAAACACTAAATATAAAAACTAAAACAAGAATTTTGAAAATTACATAGACTAAAAAAAATTAATTTTTAGTTTGAGGGGTTAAAATAAATTTATCTTAAACTTGAGAGACTAAAATTATATTTAAGCCTAGATTTGAAATCCGGACCAATTTGACCTGTTGGACTAGGATTGGGACTCGATGGCTGGCCAATTCAAGTCAATTATTAAATCGGCCATTAATTACATAATTAAAGGAGTATAAACTCGGGTTCAACCAGTGAATTTGGTATAATCCAGGTTCAATTGGGAGGTGCAAACCCATTTTCTTATAATTTTGATCTAGTTTCTATCAAACTATATAAAAGATCACATTTAAAACCAACTCCCTTCAAATAACAAAAACACAACTGAAACCTTCTGGAATCAATCTTTTTTACACTAAAATAATTTATTAAAATTAATCCTTGTTGGTGCCTCTAGATAAAATTTTACAGCCAGTGTCTAGAATAGTAGAACTCTATTTAACAAAAGTAAAATTAACAAAAAAACTACTTGACCTTAAAGGACTCACCAGCAGTTGTCGGGGTACTTGATATGATAGTGGTATTAGCTTCCCTGTGGTGTTCACCAGATTCTGAACTGTCTCCGCCCTGTAATTCCTGTCTATCTTCATCCTGCTTAAGCGCTTTAGAAGTTGTCACATTGTTTGAATGTATACCATTTGAAAAAACATTCCCAATATCACCAGAAGCCTTTTTCCTATTTTGAGAATCAAACACTTAATTCAAACCAATGTGTTCAACAATGGGGAGATTCATGGTAGTAACAGATTGTAAAGAAAAAGAAAAGGTGGGGAGAAGACATAGCTACCGGAAGTATTAGTAACTGGATTAAGAGTGGAGAGAGAGGTCGTGCAGGGAGGATTTAAGCATGAAGGCGATGGCGAAATCATCGAGGCGAGCATAATCGAGCTTAAAAGCGGTGAGGTAGGGATTGGGTAGAAGCAAGGGTCAGAGGAACTCAGCGAAAGGGGCAACGTTCTATGAGAGAAAGAGAAAAGGAGTGTTAGTTAGTTAGTTAGGGAAATAAAGATTAGAGGGTTAAGGGTAGTTATAGTTACAAAAAGGTGGAAAGAAGGGAGGAAGGAGAGGATGTGGCGGGCGCAAGAGCGGAAGACGGAAGAGGTGGAGGCCAGAGAATAAATGATATCCAACGTGTTTCCAAGTTGCTAGAGAGGGTTTAGGATATTAGAGGAGAGCTCAATGTTACATCTGTCATGCCTTGAATAGATGTAGAATATTTTCGGTACTATATCGGTTAATCAAAAAATCGATGTAAAATGGTACAAATTTACATGGGTCCTGTTTAAATCGATGTAAATGTCCTAACCTTTTTTATTTAATTACAAAAATGTCATCACATTCATGTTTTACATCATTTTTAATAGAATTAATGTAAAATTGTTGATGTAGAACAAGAATTCTCTAGAAGTGATAATACATATAAAGCTGTCCATATTCATAATAATTATGATGTTATCAAGAAATAAATAGTTATTAAGTATGTAATAATTTTGTAACATTAAATGCATTCAATTATTATTTTAAAATTGTTTATATTCGTAATAAATTTGATGTTATAAAAATAATTACAAACACATTATTTTTACTTATTAATGAATTTTGAGTAATTTATCTTTCAGAAGAGTTGTTGGGAATTTCAATAGATTATAAAAAAATAATTACAAATATTCATAAAATCATTCAGCAACATAAAGAAGATGAACAACACCATAAAAGATCAACAAGAGCTTACTCATTTTATTATGATGGAATGGGTATATATACAATGAGAAAGAAAAGAAAGAGACAAAAACTGTTACAGGGAGAGAGAGCAAAACAGAAAAAATAACAGAATGGGAATCTCTACAAAAATGAAATTCTGTTAAGAGCCCCACTCAAGCTAGGAATAGATATTCATCATTCCCAGCTTGGAACAAGATTGTGGAAGCTGCATATAAACTTCCTCGTGAAGTTCCCCATGTAAAAAAGCATTGTCAACATCTAACTATTTAAGAAACTAGTCATTAATGGCAGCCACAGAAAGAAGAAGATGCACTGTAGTGAGCTTAGCAACAGGGGAAAAGGTATCAATGAAGTCAAGTCCCTCAAGTTTACTATATCCTTTGGCTATGAGGCACGCTTTATAGCGTTCAACAGAACCATTTGCATGTTTTTTAACCTTGTAAACCCATTTGCACCCAATGGCTGATTTATTAGGAGGAAGAGAAGTAATGATCCAGGTATTGTTCACTTCAAGGGCAGCAATCTCCTCTCTTATAGCTTTAATCCAACAGTCACTTTTGGAAGCCTCAACATATGAAGTTGGTTCAATTGTGGTAGAAAGTGATAGTGTTAAATGACGAAATAATGAAGATAAGCAATTATAAGAAATGTAAGAATCCAAGGGATAGCGAATACCTGAAGAATGATGTGATGTAGCTGATGTGAATGTGACATGAAAATCTTTAAGATATGAAGGTGGTTGACACGAGCGAGATGATCGACGAAGAACAATGGGAGAAGAAGCAACCTCAATAGAAGAAACAAGGACTATAGATGTATTTTGAGAAGTTTGCATGTCAGAGGAAGGGTCACTAAGATTATTATTAGTAGGATTAGGAAGAGATGGAGTTTCATTAGAAGACATTGAAGTGAGATATGGAAAATGATTTTCATAGAAGATGACATTGCGAGAAACTTCAAGTTGATGAGTGTGGAGATTAAAAGTCAGGTAACATTTGGTATGAGGCTTAAATCCAAGAAAAATACAAGGGTGGGCCCTAGGATCAAGTTTCTTTCTATTGGCTTTTATGTTACTAATATAGCAGAGACAGCCAAAAACACGAAGCGAGGCAATATCACATGGTTTACCATAGAGTTTTTCAAAAGGAGAAATATTTTGCAAGAAAGGAGTGGGGATGCAATTGATGAGATATGCAGCATGCATCAAAGCAAAACACCAAAAATAAGGATTTAAATTAGATTGAAAAAGTAAAGCTCAGTGTAACGTTTAGTAAATGTTGATGTTTTCACTTAGCAATTCCATTTTGTTCAGGGGTTTCAATACATGTTGTTTGATGTATAATACCTTTTGATTCAAAAAAATTGAGTCATGGAAAACTTAAGACCATTATCAGTACGAATTGCTTTAACATGTCTTTCAAATTGTGTTTCAACATGTTGAATAAAATTTATTATATGAGTATGAGTTTCAGCTTTATTAGTCATGAGAAAAATCCATAGAAACGAGTATTATCATCAACAACAGTAAGAAAATACTTGTGTCCAAGCAAAGAAATTTTGGAACAAGGTCCCTATATATCAATGTGAAGTAAATCAAAAGGATTAGATGCATAAGAATTACTCAAAGAAAATGGAAGCTTCTTTTATTTAGCATAATGACAAGTGTTACATGTAAACTATTTTTCACTGTGAATACATGGATAATTTTGTTGCATAAGTTTTAAACTGTTATATGACAAATGACCCATGCGATAATGCCACAAATCGATAGGTTGAACATGACATTGAGGCTGTAGTATGGTAGAAAACAAACAAGAATGATGAAGAACAACAGAGGTCAAAGTGTAAAGGCCAACATTCACATCAACTATACCAATCTTCTCTTTGGTTTTCACATCCTGGATAATACAAGAATTAGAATAAAAAATGAGTTCACAATCAAGAGATGAAACTAATTTTGATATTGAAATTAAATTGAAGGTGAACTTAGGAATATATAAAACATTATTTAAGAAAAAGGAATTAGTAAATTTGACAGATCCTGAATGTGTAGCAAGAAGATGTTGGCCTGTAGGTAGTTTAACAATAATGGGAGTAATGGAAGTATATGTATAGAAATTAGAAAGAGAAGAGGAGACATGATCTGTAGCACCTGAATCGATGACCCAAGGTGTGTGCTGATCTGAGTTGACAGAATTAAAAATTGAACAACATATACTTGAAGAAGAAGGGGGGTGGAAGAGGTAATAAAACCAATCTGATTAATGTGAGAAGGAGAAGCTGAGTTTCCTTGAGTGGACTGTTGTATTAAAGCCATCAAGGCTTGATACTGCTAAGGAGTGAAATGAAAATCCTGAACCTCAAGAGCTTGTTGTTGATCTGATTCAGTGGCTCTACAATCATTAGCCATAGTGTTGTTGACAACAAAATTCTTCATATTAGAAAACTTGTAACCAGGTGGAAAACCATGCTTGTGGTAACACACGTCCACTCTATGACTAGATTTCCCACAATGAGTGCAAATCTTATTTTATTGGAGGAATTTTTTATGCATTTGTTGTCATTGCTAGAAGGAAATCCATGCTTCCTATAGCAAGTTGCTAGAATGATCAATAAATTTTAAGCAATCTCTAATACTTTTTGTCTAACACTATTATTGGATCAAATTTTATGAAAATTACAAATCATGGCTGCTCCCACAACCCACTAAGATTTATTATTTTCAATAAAATTCAAGCAATATCAAATAATTTGTTTAACACTCTATTCATTGCTGACTGAAATTCATTGAAAATTACAAATCTCAAAGACTCACACATCTCACTGAGATTTACTTTTTTCAATAAAATTTAAGCAATATCAAATATTTTGTCTTTCGCTATTTATAGCTAAATTTCATTGAAAATTATAAATCTCGGTGATCTCCCGCATCTTACTAAGATTTGTTATTTTCAATAATTTTCAAGCAATATCCAAAAAAAATTTCTCTAACACTAGTAATAGATGAAATTTATTGAAAATGAAAAATCTCAGTAACTTCCACAATTCACTAAGATTTATTATGTTCAATAAAGTTCAAACAATTATTGTCTCTAACGCTCTTTATTAGGTAAAATTTGTTGAAAATTACAAATCTCGGTGACTCCCGCATCTCACTCAGATTTGTTATTTTCAATAAAATTTGAGCAATGACAAATATTTTATCCAATTTATAGCTGAAATTCATTGAAAATTACAAATCTCGGTGATCTCCCACATCTCACTAAGATTTATTATTTTCAATAAATTTCAAGGAATAGCCATTATTTTTTTTTCTCTAACACAATTAATAGAAGAAATTTATAGAAAATAACAAATCTCAATGACTCCAACAACTCACCAAGATTTATTATGATCAATACATTTCAAACAATTTTTGTCCCTAACACTTTTTATTACCTGAAATTTGTTGAAAATTACAAATCTCAGTGACTGTTGCATCTCACTAAGATTTATTATTTTCAATAAAATTCAAGTAGTATCAAATATTTTGTCCCTCGGTATTTATAGCTGAAATTCATTAAAAATTACAAATCTCAGTGATCTCCCGCATCTTACTAAGATTTATTATTTTTAATAATTTTCAAGCAATATCCAATATTTTTTCTCTAACACTAGTAATAGGTGAAATTTATTGAAAATAACAAATCTCACTGACTCCCACAATTCACTAAGATTTATAATGTTCAATAAATTTCAAATAATTTTTGTCCCTCACACTCTTTATTACCTGAAATTTGTTGAAAATTACAAATCTCGGTGACTCCCACATCTCACTGAGATTTATTATTTTCAATAAAATTTGAGCAATAACAAATATATTATCAATCCCTATTTATAACTGAAATTCATTGAAAATTACAAATCTCGATAATCTCCCGCATCTCACTAAGATTTACTATTTTTAATAAATTTCAAGCAATATCCAATATTTTTTTCTATAACACAATTATTAGATGAAATTTATAGAAAATAACAAATCTTGGTGACTCTCATAACTCACTAAGATTTATTACGATGAATAAATTTCAAACAATTTTTGTCCATAACACTCTTTATTACTTGAAATCTGTTTAAAATTACAAATCTCGGTGACTCCCACATCTCACTGAGATTTATTATTTTCAATAAAATTCGAGCAATAACAAATATTTTATCTATTTCTATTTATAGCTGAAATTCATTGAAAATTACAAATCTCGATGATCTCCCGCATCTCACTAAGATTTATTAATTATAATAATTTTCAACCAATATCCAATATTTTTTTCTCTAACACTAGTAATAGGTGAAATTTATTGAAAATAACAAATCTCAGTGACTCCCACAATTCACTAAGATTTATAATGTTCAATAAATTTCAAACAATTTTTGTCCCTCACACTCTTTATTTCCTGAAATTTGTTGAAAATTACAAAT